GAGGGAGGGAGGGAGGGAGGGAGGGAGGGAGGGATTCAACGTTCTTGATCTCATAATTTCAGTGAAGACATCCAATCCTGGTAAGGACTTAGCGCATTCACAGAGGAACACAGTGCAATAAGCCTTGGCACAAAGTCTCAGCTGCAAATAGATTTGACTCAGATTGGCCTGTCGATGTAACAACCGATATTGTAACGACTAACTAGTCGACAACTGGCAGCAGACCGACCGTTTTTTTTTTTTTTTTTTTCTTCCTTTTTCTTCAATTTGGACCGTTTCTCGATTTATGTGTGTCATCCTTGCGCAGTGCGCAGGGGCCATGCTAATCTTCTCTGTATCATTCCTATTCTAACGGATGTCCCGAAGGACCAGATCGACAGACAGGTTTCCAGACTGATTACAGACTGAGTGCTAGCTGACCCAGGTGATGCAGACCCCGTCAGAGACAGACTGATTTTGAAGCCGCTCACTGACAGAATGATAGAGAACCTCGTCAAAGACTGAATGCCCGGAAAAAAAAAAAAAAAAAGAATGCCTGGAGACTAACAGGTTTGCAGACTGATTGTCCTTCGGGACATCCGTTAAAATTGGAACGATACAGAGAAGATTAGCATGGCCCCTGCGCAAGGATGACACACAGAAATCGACAAATGGTCCAAATTATTTAAAAAATAAAAATAAAAAATTCTGCAGACTGACAGGTTTTTGTTGCATTCTGGCATTACCGGCTTCACCCGAAAAGAACGCACAGTCAGTACGGCTGCATCTAGGCTTGAAGTTGGTCTGGATACAGGATTAATGAGCATAGGTTCTATTCTATTTTGGGGAAGATGGTAGTCAAGATAGGAATGGATCGTGGTGACCTGCGCAGGAAGAACAGAAAGCATGCAATCTGAAATGAATAGAGACGTTCTTTGCAACAACAAAAAAGGACAAAAAAAGGCAGGATAGGGCCAGCTCGTCTCGGCCCGAAAGCATGAGTTTGGAGTTGTCCTTCCTGTGGCGGGGAGCATCGTCGTGCAAGGGTTCTCTTCACCGTAAAATTTCTTTCGCTCGGGTATTCAAACCCTTTGCAGACGGCTCGGACAGGTAACGGGTTATTGTAAGCAGTAGAGTGGCCTTGTCGTCACGATCCGTTGAGATTCGGCCCTTTTTTTTTTCCCCAAGGTTTCTTTTAGTTGAAGCTTACCATCAGGTGGAATCTTGTATATGCCTGATTCTGACAAGGTATAGCTGGAAGAATGTATATCCTCACAGTAGATGGTGCTCAGCACTGTTGTAAGTGTGCGCCGATCATGGTCGTCAGTTACCCTTCCCCCATAGTTGCACTCTCCAGTCAGGTACCTCAATGCCTTGTACGGCACCTGCATTCCGATGACCAAAACAGACAGAAAGAGGAAGGAATCGAAGGATACACCAACTTCAAGCTGTCGTACGAATTGAGACAATTAAATATCCTAGCCCCGGCTGGCTTTTCAAAAATAAAAAGAAAAAAAAGGAAGAAAAAAAAGAAAATAAGAAAGAAAAAAAGAAAGTAAGAAAGAGACAATTTTTATTATTATTTTTTGGGGGGGGACAAAATGCTCCAATCTATTCGTGGGGAGCAGCACGTGCTGGGAACCGGGCCCAGCGTCCCATATGAAAATACACGAGTATTAAAGCACTGGGGCCATTACCCGGCTTCGGCTAAGAAAACTCTGAGCAAAAATTGCACCAAGTACTAATGAAACAGCCTCGAAGGGGCTAATGGAAGAAACCAGCCATCGAGCTGCATGACGGAAAACTGTCACGTGTGGTTCTGAGGGCAGGCGTTCTGCACTGACCCCTATCCTACATGCAGTACTAAATTCAAAGGGCCCTCTTGTTTTTCGAACCTTGAAGAAGATATCCCATGGTCCTAGTTCACGTCGTCATGGATAAATGTGGAGGAGGAGAAGACATGAAACGTAAGACAAAGTTTTGCATCAGGACAAGGAGAAGGAGGAGGAGGAGGAGGAGGAGGAGAAGGAGGAAGAGGAGGAGAAGGAGGAGGAAGAGGAGGAGGAGTAGGAGGAACATTTAGCAGTATCCACAAAGACAGTCAAATTCTTACGCGCGTTCGCGCCTTCGTGGGATTCAGACGTGAAGCGTCTGCTTTTCGAGCCGTAAGGTTGCCACCGCATACTTCGAAAGATGTTGTGGCCTAGGAAAGGTACTCCTTTCGACGCATGGGTAATATGGGTTTTGTCCGAGGAGGAGGAGGAGGAGGAGGAGGGAGGTCCCTCCTTACACCACTGCGTCCTTCACCTCCATGCTCCTCCTCCACATTGTGTTCGGTAATTCATACATAAATAAAGAAAGAATTGCCTCCCTTTTCTCTCTCTTCTCTCGTTCGTGTGCCCGTCACAGCTCCCAGGCGCCTCCTCAGTGATGCACAGATGACAACACAAGAGTTAACACCTCCTCCTCCTTTGCTGAAGATAATGCCAATCCAAGAGCCTCTATGGCGTCCCAAGTTGTACTGCTGCTCAAGGATGATGAGCGGCGAAGTCCGCCATAGCTGCCAGCAAGTTCCATTACCATTAACCCTCCTTAACGACATCCAAAGCTTCTTCTTTTTCTGTCCTATCAGGCCCGCACTAATCTGGCTCTCCACACTCACGCCAAGCAGAAATGCCCTAACCGCGACATCATTGTCAACCTTGGAACTCCTCCATAGCCACGGATCCTCGTCTTCAACCTCCATATTCTCCCCCGAAAGCAGGTGAACGTCCATCGAATGATGAACCAGCAAAGTGACCCAGACTCCGCCCGGGTACGTTGTGTGCCCGTACAGCCTCTTCTACAGTCGTCACCTGAATAGAACTCTCAGTTGCTGTATCGAGACTAAAAGCTGCACCGAATACAGCTACAAATGACCCGATGTTCTATTCAGGTGAAGACGGACGGTAGGGACCAAGTCTCTCACGACGTGCACTTGTGTTCAGTCTGTAATGCACCTTGGGTTCTGAAAGAAAACTCAACTAAGATGGGCATATCAGGTACGGATCTCTAGACCTACCCTTAAGCTTATATCGGATTCAGCGCCTACCGGACTTCCTGGAAAACCCTCCCCCAACCTGGAAACCCTTACCTTTATGTCCTTTCTTTTTTTTTTTTTTAACGAAAACAGAACCTTGCGGTTCTGGCTCCTTTCCATTCTGGGGAGCATCAGTCCACTAACTCTGGTTCCTATTCCACCGGCAAGTCAGAAAGAATTACAAATATATATATACTCATGCACGCTCCTCCCCATTGCGGTTGAGAGGCGCGAGTGGTCCCCACTGATTACATCCCCAAGGGAAGGATGTACCACCCTTGCCCCTGCCTAAGTTAGCTTACAAGACTTACTTTTGAGCTGGTCGCAACCTGCAAGCCTTTTTTTTTTTTTTTTTTTTTTTTTTTTTTTGAGAAAACATCCCTTGGGGTAGTCTGACTTGTACGACATCTGGTTGTTATCGTAACTTACCTAAGAGAGTTGTAGCTACTTGCTACTTGGCGGTCGGATTTACCTTAAGTACTGGAGCTGCCAGCTTGGCGTCTTTCTTACTGGCGATCTTGCCAAACCCCTAAACCCTAACAGCCCTGTCTCGTACCTACTCCTCTCAGCTGTTGGGCTGTCAGATTTACCAGGGCAACTAGAGCAGTACGAGGCATCAACAACCTTCTAAACCCTAGAGCAGCCAAGGATTATAAGTGCAATCGGACTGAGTGCAAACTTAAACCCTCTGCGAGCTAGGGTAGTCGTTAGATGCTGTCTGGACGGATTATATTCCGCTGTTCCCTGTTACCTATATGCAATTCTGTAACTTACTCAATGGCTCGTATTTGCAGATAGATCCTACCTCGGACTCAAGATACCACACTAACAAACCGGTTACCATTACAACACACCCACAATCCCATAACTTCCTACGGACGCAGTGCAAACACAGCCACAAGTCTGCACAACTCAGAGATCTATGTGTGTGTGTGTGTGTGTTTTAGATTTTCCCCGCAATAGCCCCAATTATGCCCAGATGAATAGATTCAGAATCAAAGCAGTCTTTGTCCTATTGCAGACAACGAGAGCATTTGAGATGTCCAACATATTAAAGCAATTTTATAATTAGACAGTTTTTTGGTTGTCCTTGGGGTACCCCTTTCAGTGTTTATGCAGCTCCCCTTTTACTGTGCCTCTTACGCACAAGGCTGCCCACGCTGATTGGTGCTGTCTCTTATACACATCTAGATGTGTATAAGAGACAGGCGTGCTGGGAGGCTCGGATTCAATAGCTGAGCG